TGTGGATAAAGAATGCTCCCACTTGGAGTCCGCTGAATGTCCAGAGCAGGTTCAATCTCAGACTATAGAAGATACTGAAAGAATGACGAGACCTGACAGTTCTTCAGATCGGATCATCACTCGGAGTTCTGTGTCTTTCGAACAACAGTGCTCTGATTCTCATGTTTCACATCCTCCATACAGTGAAACTCTGCAGTCACCTACCCCACTAGCTGATACTAGTTTTGGGGTTCATGCGTCATCACAAATATTGCTGGGCAGTCTGTTAGAGAAGGCCGATAGTGAGGACCTCTCACATTTACCTGTAAATGATGTGGATAACCACGGCTCCCAATTGGAGTCTGCTGAATGCCCTGAGCAGCTTCAACCTCAGACTAGTCCTTTGGGTGACGCTTATAAAACAAGCCTCTCTCCTTATGAAATACAAAGTAATGACACACATTCCAATGGTTGTGCTGTTGTAAATGTCTCTGTATCTGAAGAAAATCACTTATCTCAGGAGCAACATTTGTTGGCCAGAACATCTTTAGAATTCAAGGAGACCGATGTGGAGACTCCCTTTGGCCATGCTTCCCCAGTCACACAAAACGAGACACTCAATGTGAAGGCAGCATATGATGGGGTCAACTGCCGTTCAGGAAAGTTGGATGATGTTCAGGTAAAATTGTCAGCTTTGACCAAAGCATGCAACATTTCTGTCAGCAACAAAAAAGATGAGTGTGCAGTGCCAGAAGTTATGAGCAGTGCTTCAGCTAGGAGAACCGGCGAAATGCACTCAACTGAAAGGAACAGTATGACTTCGGCCGAAGATCTGCAACAAAATGGTACCATGCTTGCTATTTGTTGAACATATATTTGCTAGTTTTTTTGGTAGCAAAAGTTATTGTGCATGTCCTTACATTGTTTCTTATCTTGCAGGAACAGAACAAAAGACCTCTTTTCTTGAGAATGCTGTTAAAGAAAATGTTAATTCATGTACAGCAGAAAACGATAAACGGAAATTTTCACAACCTTCTGTTCAGTACCTCTTACGTAGTGCAGCATCACATGAGAAAATTAATCTGCTCAAGTCAGACAGAAGCAGTGCTGCTTGTGACCAGAAGAGGTCTGTTCAAGATGGAGTTAAAGGAAATGATAGTTTGTCATCTAAAAGGAGAAGAATAAGGCGCCGATCAGACTTTGACCTTTCCAGGACATCTTGCACAAATTCATTGTCTCTGAACCACCAAGTTGACATTGCTGGTCCTATGTTGACTGCGACAAATTTCTCGGAGAAATCCCATCCTTCGAGTCCTTACTTCTCAAGGAGTTCAGGATCCTGCAAGAGCATGTCTCTGGCATCAGAGGGGGGAAATGCTGCAAGTGATGTTTATGGAAATGGGAATTCTTCACGGGGAAGAAGAAACGCAACTAGCCTATTAAATGTTGTCCTTGATAACTCTCCTACTGCAAGCACCAGCAGGAGAGCATTGGAGGGAAGGATCTTCAAAACTTCTCAAGAACAGAAACAAAATAAGTTGGAAGTTGACTTTCTGACAACGACTGCTGCTTTGCCTTATTGCTCTGGCATCCTATCTCATAACGAGGAAAACTGCACACAACAGGTATGTGCTCAGCAAGTGCACCGGACTACCAGTTCCCTTTCCTCTCTGAATAATATAAATGTTTATTTATTATGGAAGAACTGGTTATATTTTTTGCTTGCAAAATATGTCATGAAGTAGTAAACTAGTGGTAATGCTCAGTCTGTCTGCATTATTGGTGGAGCCTTTTCTTTGGATGCTTTGCTCTGACAAATTCGCAAACAGTCACGTAGCTTCTCTATTTCTTGTTTTTATTATCTCTCTAAGGGATAGCTGATAGGAATATTCATGGGTATTTCATCACGATTTTGTACTGATGAACATACAAATTCCGTGCCTGGCAAGTTTGTAACATCCATGTTGATTTGATGGCCCTTCTACAGTAGTACTGCACCCGTTAGTATTAGATTTGATTTGTTGGCATTTATAATTGGTAGAGTTGGGTAATGTGCACGCTTCAGTCTATATTGCACTTGCTATTTTATGTGTGCTAGTAAGTCCTAGCGTATTTACTGTTGTTCTTTTTGTTGGCAGGAAGGTACTTGCTTAGAAGGTCAAGACCTAAATGTCACTGCTGCAAGTGTGGCAGACCAGGAAATGGCTCTTGAGACGGATAACTTATCATCTCCAATTGCAATATTAAATCAAGAAAATTATTCTGGAACGGAACCATTTACTCAATTCCCAAGTTATGCTTTAGATCAACATGGTGAACAAGCATCTGCTCCGAATGCACTGTTTCATGGGAAATTATGTTATGGATCCAATGTTAAACGTGGTAGGATATATAAAAGTTATGATCCAAAGGGACATTTGCTGCCTGGTGCTGCTATTTCAATGCCAGTATTCGAGAGATTTGATGTTCCTGGCCAATTTGACAGCCCAATTATCGGAAAAAGGTCATTTGAGTCCCTTCACGATTCTTGCCAATTAGGCACCATCAGCTCAGGTCCTCCAAACAAGTATAATACCAACACAGCGAGTAGTTTGCATCAGCTATTGACAACTATGTCACCAAGAAAAAGTCGCAGCGTTATGGGCTCTTTTGGATATGGATCGGAACTTGATTCGTTTTTCATTTCTGATGACGTAGCCTCGTGCTCTTCAAATGCTAGCAGCAGACAAGAGATTAATGAAACTCCGTTGACTCCGTCAGTTGAAAAATATAGCCTCCAGAAAATTTCATCAAGATGTGGATCTGGTTCAGAACATATGGGTTCTATTCCTGAACTTAAAATCTTCCGAATTGATGAAGATAACAGTATTCTGGAAGAAGATGAGTACCAAGACATGGCTCCTGGATCTGTGGATGTGAATTACTCATGCCAGCGGTCCTCTGAGAGAACAGCACTTCAGGATATTACCGGATTATGTCAAAACAATGGAAATTCTCCATCTCTTTCGATGAGATGCATGGATAAAGGTAACAGCATAGGCTTGAGTGCAGAATCTGTCAGTCGTGAGCTCACTCATCATTCAAATATAAAAAATGATAGCATTAAGCGAAAATACAATCACCCTACTTCAGTTAAGAGAGAAGGGAAAGCATCCCGTTCTCTTCATGGCAGATTAGGTACGACAGAAATAATCAGTAGCACAAATGGAAGACACAGGAGTGAAGCAAATGTTGACAAACAAGGCACGGCAGAACTAAAGAGCAGAAATGGAAGACACAGGAGTGAAGCCAATGTTGATAGACAATCTAAGCCTAGCAATATTGTTTCCAATGTGACATCTTTTGTACCTCTTGTAAAACAAAAGTTGCAATCTACAACAGTGTGCGGTAAGAGTATCTGTTTAATTGCATTACTTATTTCGAACTATATGCTAAATCTACAAATGTTTGATGGTGCTCATAAATGGCTTCTACAACTGGGGTTGCTGTCGTGCAGTTAAAAAAGATGTTAAGGTGAAGGCTCTTAAGGCAGCTGAAGCTGCAAAACGTCTTGAAGAGAAGAAACAAAAAGAGCAAGAAAAACGCAAAGCGGCTGCAAAAGCAGAGCGTGAAAGACTGAAGCAAGAGAAGGAATTAAAACAAAAACTTGAAGAGGAGCAAAAGAAAAAACGAGAAGTTGATGCGGCCGCTAAGAAGCGGCAGAGGGAAGAAGGAGAAAAGCGGGAAACAATGAAAAAAAGAAAATGCATGGATGAAGCTCGAAAGCAACAGAAGCAGCCTATGGATAAACAACGAGGCATGAAGGATGAGAAAGATGCTCGTCAAAAAGCTTCTGTGAGTATAAGCTATATATATATATATATATATATATATCTTATTTCTTCCTTTTCCCTCCTCAAACAGTACTCTTTAGAAAATACTCCCTCCGTTTTTATTTACTCTGTATATTAGGTTTGACTGAAGTCAAACTTCATAAACTTTGATCAACTTTATAGAAAAAAGTATGAACATTTACAATAGCAAATCTATACGATGTGAAAGTGTATTCAACAATGAATCTAATGTGATTGATGTGTTATTGTACATGTTAATATTTTTGTCTAAAAACTTTGTCAAAGTTTATAAAGTTTGACTTTGACCAAAGCTAATATGCGGAGTAAATAAAAACGGAGGGAGTATATGTTATTTTTGTAATTTGAGTGGCAAAACTCTCAGATTGATCATATGAAATTTGTAATAGTATTAGATATGCATAGGGGTTTCAAAATATACGGTTCCCAAGCGTCATGTGATATATTCTCAAACAGAGGGGTATTTGTTTTTTAATATTTAAAATCATGGCAGGATAATATGGAGCCAAGGAAGAATTTGGTTGATGTAGGCAAAAGCCAAGTTAAATCTGACGAGGCTACTGAACATGCCCTTCGATACAAGGCCAATGAAAGTAAGGATGAGAAAGGTGTTGCAGTAGATGACAGGAATGCAAGTTTTGGATCTGATGCTAAGGAAAATATCCTGAACAGTCTTGAGGAGGTATGCTTTTTTTATTTAACTTCATCATGCAGAATGTTTCTTCTGTAAATCTGCATATGTTGGTACTACTACTCATTCATCTTTGATAATGATCCACGACTGACAACGACGGAGATACACCCCAGGCCTGGGGGCCCAGGGCGCTCAAATCCTTTCTTCACTGTAGCAGCATGTCCACTGTTTGGTACTGTAGTGATACTGTAGCAAACTGTCGGTCTGGGCCTTGGTCCAATCCTGGCTACGCCCCTGGTTGACTGATATGTTACATGCTTGCAAATAATAACAGTGTTACAAGTCAATATACTCGTATACAGATATACTAATGGAAGTTCTTTTGAAATGGTGCATGATAGTAGCTTCTATGCCATAATGCATGCCCACTGGTTTGTTATTAACATGAATAAGAGAAGACTTTGGAAGACATGAGTAATTTTTCTCTCCATTTGAGGCTATAATTCTTGTAAAGCGGCAAAATTGTTAGAATGTACAAACATCTGCAGCGTCATTGCAGCTGGGACAAAGCAAAAATATGTTGTCAATCTCAGCTGTTTTGATTTCTCGTTTGACTTCAGTATCAGTTTGTATGCTTTTCATGGATTTCACTCTAGTATCAGCAACCACTCTAATTTTTTAATCCTCTGCTCTGATGTTAATGAAACTTTTGCCAGTCCTACACAATGACTCCGTATAAAGATTCTGATGATGAGGATGATGATGATTATGACGAACATGAACAAGAAGCAAGGCGCAGAAGGAAATTTGTTCCTTCTTGGGCTCGGTACGTGAACTGACTACGGAATTTTGCACATAATTGACAGCAGGATTCTCTGTTTTAATACTGATAAGCATTTTGATGTTAATGACAAACTGAAAGTATCTTCCGCTGTGCTCCTTCAATAAATGGCGTACTCCCGCTTGCTAACTTTTTTCTGAATATAAGTGTTTTTTTGGGGGGTGTTCATTGTGCTTCGTATTGGCATAGTACCTCGAGCCTGCTAATCACATAGTCTTCATGTTCAATTTGCAGAAAAGAAAACTTGGATAATATCTTACTATCCAATAAAACATTAGACCCTAGAGAAATATTTGCACGGAAGCTGTCCTTCAACATACCTGAAGGTAATGTCCATTTCATTGTTGCCCTTTGTCAACAAATTTACTCCTATAATTGCTAGTGTTGACCTTGTTGCCTCCTTCCTACCTGTTGTGTGCAGTCCTTTCGGCGCCCGTTCCTCAGCGCGGCTTAAGATAGCCTTCGATTCTATTTGATGAAGTAGTGGTAATATTGTCATTGCCGTTGTTCCTCTGGCCTCCATTTCGCCATTGGCAGTCAGTGATGTGTATAAGCTGACCAGCAATCTCTTTTGTAACCTGTAAGCTAGGAATGATCTATGTAGGAGAACATTGCTGTACCACTTGACTACTTAGCTAGCATCGACCATTGCTTGGCAAAGTTATAGTTTGTTTATAATGGCTTCCGTCACATTAATTTTTTGACGGGGGTTGAGTATGATGTACTATCAGAGTGGCAACATGTGTATTAATCAAGGTCTCGGGAGTAGCAGGAAAGTGAGCTCTTTTGTCCGATAAGTACAGTTGGACTTTTTTTTTGTGCACATCACGGTTGGACTGTTTTGCAGTGGAAATTTTCATTTCATATTTTCTAGTTAGTGTCAAGTGCAACAGAAAAGCGGGCATCAGCTGCAAGCGTATGGAAGATGGAATTTGATACGGCTGTAGAGAAATAATCAAGTTTTTTTTAGACGAGAAATAATCAAGTAGTACAGTCAAAGAGAAGGAATGGATGATACTAAACTACAAGCAGGGAAGAGGCAGCAGCGATGGAGAGACTGGTGGCCCATGGCAGTGGGACGGCCGTGATATAGAGAGAAGACAGCACACGGCCCTTGCAGCAGCGACAGATTGGTTTTTAAAATTCATGAATTGGTTTTTGAATTTTGTGGACATTTTTAAAAGTTCATGAACATTTTTTGAGTATGCGAACATTTTTTGATTTCCTGAACATTTTTACGAAATCGTGAACATTTTTGAAAGTTTCACAAACATTTTTTTAATTCCTGAAATTTTTTATGAATTTGCTAACATTTTTTGAAACTCAACATTGATTTCCCATACATTTTTGTTCAAAACCGTGAATATTTTTTCAAAATCACAAACATTGATTGAATCCACATACATTTTATGATTTCTTGAGTATTTTCTTTCAAAATTCATATTATTTGGAAATTTGGAACTTTTCGAGGGGACCGCTGGAGAGAGTTTTTTTTTTGAGACAAAGAGAATTTGTATTGAGTAGACGTCAGAGAGAACAAAGTCCAACAGGGCCTCCACGAGGCCCGGCCCGGGCCCATCTTCATATTATCCTCTTCCGTCGCCTTCGTTCCCCCTCGTCTCCCTGTCCGCTCTCCCTCCACCCCGCTCTCCGCTCCCTCCAAAACCCCAGCAGAATGGAGGCAAAGGCGCTCCCCCTCTCGCACTTCCGCGCGCGGGCGGGCTCGCCGCTCCTCCTCTCCGCAGACGCCAGCTCCGCCGCGCGCAAGGGCTCCGGCGCGCCAGGTACTCCGCATTCCTCCATGGAATCTCAGGCTGTTCTGCTCGGGGCTAATCGGGGATTGTTTCGCCGTGTGTGTTTCGGGTAGGCAGGAGCAGGGCCTCGAGGTATGACGCGGGAGCGCCTCCGAGCAGGGCAGGTACTATGTTGGTAAATTACTGTATTCTATCCCTGACATTTGTTACTCCATATTCAAATTGCTTTACACCTTCTTATCCGAAAAATGGGTTGACTCTCTGGTCTCTGCATCAGTGTGATGCACACAGCGATAATTATTTTATACGTGTAAAAAATTAGTAAATAACCAAGGGCCTCACCTAATGCGAAATCACGCTCTGGTCATATCTTTCTTTTTTGTGAATACTGAAAAGATGCCTGTATGAGTGAATTAATATAAGATCAAGCAAAGTACAAAAGCTAGGAATGGCACCGTTAAAAACATGATCCTCCCTAGTATAATACAGTATTGTTCTTCATCTCTATGTTAAGCTGATTGTCTGATCCAAATCTCCTGTGCTTTTTAGGGATGAATGGAGTTCCAAAGCTTAATCCCAAATTCTCCACCAGAAGAGCAGGTGAAGAGCGCCGCATGAAATAATGTAGCTAAGTTGCTCACTTTAACCGATTTTCTGTGTTTACGCAGGGACAAGTAAGGTTCCAATTATTAATTTCGAGGTTTCTCATCACAGAGCAGGTAAAATGTTAATGTTATGATTTTTTCATTTTGCTAATAATATTTGCCTTACTTGTATGAATCTCTGGTGGGATATAGTTTATTGGATATTTAATCATTCATAATGTTTGTGTTGTTGCCATGTTGGAGCAGTTGCAGCGGTGAGGTTGCTAAGAGCTGATAAGGGGAAGGCGTTTGTTGATCTTTTAAATGAGAAAGCAAACGATTCTGGGGAAAATGAGATGGGCTATGTAGAAAGGACGTTAGGATTCAGCACACGACATTTGGATGACAGGGATATAAGATTGGTAAAATTCATATATTTCACATGTTGAAATGTTTGTTCTGTCTACGAATTTCAGTTTGTTTAGGGGCACTTGCACTATGTTGGGTTATTGCTGGGAAATAGGAATATAATGCTGTAAGAGAAACAACTCCTTTGTTGCAGCAGCATAATGATGTCATCTGTATTTGATGAACATATAGCTAACTGGTTGTCAGTTTTGTTTATTCACTTTCTTGTATCACTATACCTGTGATACAGGGTGTCATGATAAACATATATTGCACAAATGGCTCAGTAACAATGTAACAGTATATAACACACTAATATGACTTCTCTATCCATGCGTAGGAATTCAAACCTTCTGATTCTCTTATGGTTGGATTGTTAGGTTACTGTCATAGTAGCTGGAACTGTACGTTGGAAACGCTACATTGATTATCTTATCATGTCACTCTGTAGTGAAGAGAAGGTGTTCAGCAACATGGAACCGCTGCTGCTGCAGGTTTGTCCTATATTTCTTACAGCATATAATCTCATTGAATACCCATTGCAGAAGTTTACTCCTGCTTGTAAAATATTTGAGGTTAACACTTCTGATTTCAGATATTGCGAATTGGCTTCTTTGAAATTCTCAAACTTAATGTACCAGCTTATGCTGTCGTTGATGAGGTATGTTGAAGTATTTAACATGTACCGGAATTAAGTTAGCCCTTCGTTTGTTTTTTGGTTGACCAGAATGTTAAATGCGGCAAGTGGTATCTCTTAATTAAAGTGATTTCCTTCCTGTTTATTTAAGTTCAAAAGAACAAATGTGGGCATGTGATACTGAGCTCTTTCTCTTATCATTTCATAATACAAAAGTTACGTTAAATGCTGTAGATGGTTGTGTTTCTGTTCTCTGATAGTTGGCATGCTGGATATAAATTATTACGATAATAGCCAGTATGCTACACCAGAACCCCCAAAAGGATGATATGGTTCCCTGTTTTAATATCCTGAAGGTCTACCTTGTTACTGTTCTTTGTTATATGGTGGTTTTCATACTTGGTGTGTCCATTATTTGAGATTGACATGTAGTATTATATTATTGTTGTCAGTTCTACTAAAGTCTGAAGCCAATGTCACCAGACAATATATTTGCTTTGTTTTCAAAAGGAACCTGATAATGTGTCTTGCAAACCGAATTTTAGAATGTAAGGCTCGCGAAAGTAGCTTTAAGGCCCGGTGCTGGGAACATGGTGAATGCGATTCTGCGTAAACTTCTGTTACTGAAGGTAAAACCTGGTGTACTCAGACTAATCAGTAGGGTTATGCTGTAAGCCTGTAACATTATTGTGTTGCTTTTATAATTAGGAGACAGATTCTCTTCCTCTTCCAAAGATAGAAGGTGATGATCGTGCCCAAGCTCGTGCTCTTTCCATAATTTATTCTCATCCTGTTGTAAGTTTGCTTTACTTGCTAAGCTTTAGCTCTCATCATGTTGTAAGTTTGCTTTACTTCCTAAACTTAGTTGACCTCTGTTAAAAAAATTTAAAGCGTCAAATGCTTCGTTCGTACAATCAATAGATCTACTGCACTGTTGATAACATTCGAATTAAACTCATGCGGTCATGCCTGTTTTCAACCAATGTCCTTGTTAACTGGAGTAATGTACCTGTGGGGACTTCAATGTACTTGCTGTTTCTGACGTTTCGTAAGAGCATAATATAGGATTGGTAGACATGTTTTGTAAGCTGTAATATGTTTTCTGCTCTGCAGTGGATGGTGAGAAGGTGGATTCGATTTCTTGGAAAAGAAGAAGCTCTAAAATTGATGAATTGGAATAACAGTGACCCTTATTTCAGTTTAAGGTTTTAATTTTTAAGCGTGCTCTTCTGTGAATTGCAAATTACCTGCTCGGCTGCTCTGTTTATGCGTGTGTTTCTGATTGACTGATCTTTGTGCCATAGGGTGAACACAACAAATGGTTATACAAGGGATGATCTTGTTAACCGATTGGAAGATTTGCAGGTACTTATGTTAATTCTTAGTACCTGAGTTCCATCCTATTTATGGCTAAGGTAGGAAAAATATAAGAGCCATGCTATTTATCTACATAGGATTTATCCAATTTAGTAGTCATGTTTGGGTCATACTCTGCCTTGATTATTTGCATTGGATTTCATCACTTGATTTTCTTTTGTGTAGGTTCACTATGAAAAGTCAATTATGGACGAATTTGTCCGCATTCGTGAGGGCATGCAGGTAAGGAAGCTGAACAGTTAGTTCCGTGATCACTGCACAACTGGTGTTTGCCAAACCAATGTGTTCTATTCATATCCTCTTAATTTCTTTTGGAACACAATATGTTTAGTATGCTTATAAATAACACTGTTCAAAGTCTTCTAAATTGGATGTGGACAATAAGATACCACACTTGACTTCAGTCCAAGGAAGTGAGACGCCGGGAGCTAGTAAAAATGAATGTTTAAGAAATAAAACTGAAATACTGCATTTCGATACTATTAGGTAGAAAGGAAAGGATAGCGCCATACTTCTGGTGTCTTAAGATATTATTTTGATGCTATTGCTATGGAGCACAAAATACTATAATCCAGCATACATTTCATTTTAGAAAATTTAGTTGTGTATCATACAAGTTCATTTATATTCAAAAAGTAACCTGTGCAGCATTTGTGGGCACACAATTTCCCCAATTCGCCCTTAATCCATAAGAAACTCTAGTGATTTTTAATTGCAATATTGCATTAGGAATGCCCATTTCTTATAATGCCTCTCGAGATACTGGCTGGTATCTTGATAGCGTAATTTCTTCCTTGCAGGCAGTCTTACAAGCTGGATTACTGAAAGAAGGCATGTGTGCCGTGCAGGATGAGAGTGCAGGCAAGTCGTGAACGTTACTTATTGACCACCTTTTATTTATTACAAATGGGATTATGATATTCAAATGATTTTTACTAGGACTACATGCTGATGTAGAAAGAACTATTCACTATTATGCTTTATACTCCATTACGTTAAGTATTTACCCTTTTCCCTTATACGGTTCCAAGTCTTGGTAACAACAGCAAGTTTCAATTGAAGATCGCTATAGATAACCCACACTAAGATTTACAGAACCTATTGCAGGTTTTGTTGTGTCTGTGGTTGATCCACAACCTGGGGAAACAATCATGGATTGTTGTGCTGCACCTGGCGGGAAGACTTTATTCATGGCATCCCGGCTGGCAGGACAAGGTGAGAGATTAGAATGAGGGAGTTCAATTTTCTGTTGATATTGCAACTGGAGAACTGTGGGACCTTGTGCTAGTGTTTATCTTTTCCTTTCTGGCCATGCATCTATAATGTGTTTTGTTAGTATGCTATATTTTTGCAAAAAACTTGTGAGCAAAATGCTCAAATGAATCACTTTTCATATGTTATTCTTGACAGCCTGCTTGGGGTGCTATGCACCGCCGGCATAATCGGTTGTTATGACCTAGTAACGTGTGCCAGTGGCTGCCGTTGTTAGCTTAATTTGTCAGATATAAATCAACCAATGTATTACATTTATGTCCTTCAAATGTAGCATCTGATGCTACTTAATATGTAGCATCTGATGCTATTTAATGGTTAGCCGGTATAAAAATTCTTCACCTTTCATCTCCACTGAAAACTAGCATTTGTGAATGTATACATTCCACACCGACAAGAAAATAGTACTCACAGGTCCAGAATAATTAAGTTCTACCAGATCTGATCTTGTTAAAACATTATGTCATCGATGCGGAGCGAGCTTCTAAGTCTGGAATACATAGTATACTTGACTTGATGATGTGCTATTATACAGGGAAGGTATCAGCTCTTGACATAAATAAAGGCCGCTTGCGAATTCTCATGGAGGCAGCAAAGTGCCACAATCTTGATGATATAATCACTGATATCCATGGTGATCTTCGACTATATGCTGTAAGTTTCCAAGAAACTTCATAATTACTAGTCCATAAAAAGCCTCAAAAAGAAAGAGGAAGTCCCGTATATCCAAGAATAATGCACCGCCAGTGGAAATATTTATCAGGAATATGCCTATTGACTATTACGGACTTATGGTTAATGTTTTATCCACACATATGATAAGAAGGCTTATGCACATGACACGTAGACTTGTATTGCAGAAGGAAAGCACTGCCAAATATGACAAGGTATTGTTGGATGCTCCATGCTCTGGGCTGGGAGTCCTTTCCAAGGTAGCTCTCTTTATCAAGTTCACTGTTTTCGAGAACTTTGCCATCACAGAGCATTGTACTGATCCGAATCTGGAGTTACAAGTTGGCAAATTTTGTGATGAACTAAAGTCACCTTTTCTGTTCCCAAGAGGGCAGACTTGCGTTGGAATCGACAATTTGAAGATCTGGAGGAGTTGGTGTTTTTGCAAGATGAGCTCCTTGATTCGGCCTCATCGTGAGATTCTTGCTGTTACACGTTTTTAAAATTTTGTGCAAGCAAATTCATCTTGACAGCATCTAAGATTACTTTCAATGATTTTACTTGCAGATTGGTAAAACCTGGTGGTATACTAATATACAGTACATGTTCCATTGACCATGAAGAAAATGAGAACCGGGTTACTGCTTTTGTTCAGAGGCATCCGGTACGAGTTCATATTAAAATTATCCATCGATCCTTCACAAAAGATACGAACTCAATATTCAATTGATCTAGGCAATATGTCTGTCCTTACAATTCGGGGTCCTGTTGGTAACTTGGTACTATTAAGCATGTACATTGTTTCTGCCCAAGTATTATTATCACCAAAATTCTACTCCCTCCGTCCACGACAATAATTATTGAACGGAGGGAGTAGTTTTCTTTTAGTCATAGCATGAACCGAACTTCAATCCTTATCCAGCAATTGGAAGTCGCTGCCGTTCCCACTATATGTTAGCCCTCAGTTCAGATTTAACAATGATATAGCTGCACATTTAACTCTCCAAAAAAGTTTACACATTTAAGCATCCTGTAACACTTGTTTTATCTGTAACTGAACAGTCTATTATCATTTCTGGAACCTTACTGGTTGGTTATGTTCACTGTCCAAATCAGTTCTATAGATATACAATCAAAAGAATGCAATGAAACATTTCGTGTTCTTTCCTTACTCAGTGATTATTGCATGTTAGACAACATCCACTGACATCTAATCATGTGGTCTATTCATTTTACTATGATATGCTACAGGAGTTTACCCCACAGGGTGTACAAGGATTTGTTCCTGCAGAATTCATCACAGATGATGGTTTCTATTCCTCAAGTCCAACTAAGCACTCTCTGGATGGGGCATTTGCTGCTCGTCTTGTCCGGTCAATGCACTAGGACTCCCTACAATTAGGTGACCATAAGAAGAACCAAATACCAAATATATTTTCTAGTGTTTATATGAACTGAATTTCCCTTTCAAGATGTTTATCTGACACATGCTGTAAAAATTCTCTTCCCTCTTACAGTTTCTTAGAAGAAGGTAGTCTTCTGCGCTCTGTGGTCCATCTTGCTTCTTGGACTGCATGCAGTAAGTTGTATAATAGACAGCAATGCTGAGGTCATCCTTATAGGCACGCTCCATCATTTTGATGTTGAGTGACACAATAATGTGTGTTGTGAGCTAGATGTACCTGGAGTTGTACCTGCTGGATACCTAAGCATGTGTATTAGGTAGGCCCTAGTGAAATTATCTGATAAAGTATGTTTGTTATGTATTATTATGTCTTGCACAGTACCAAGTGATAGTCTCAAGGTAGATGATCATACATAAAAGTACGTCTAGAAATTTATCAGATGAAGTGTACTTCAAGAGAACCATAATTCTATAAATATAACTTTGTTGGACATCAATGCCTCTTGTAGGACCTTACACTATTGGTACGAGCAGAGCCAACATCCCAAAGCCAATAGAAGCTAATGTAACTGAGAACGGTATTCTGCCTTTGTCCTTCCTCACGAACATTGCTTCATAGAATGGGATATTGGTGATCACTAGCATTCCACACAGAATGAGCTGGGGGGAAAATACATTCAAGAGTATATTCCGGCCACCTGTCAGAATTTGACTAAGCCCTCCGACCAGACAAATAAGGTTGAGTAATGCGACAGTTGCAATGATCACATATTCTGGAGCTGATGACCCGAATTCCATGATTTCTTGCTCGTATCTCTTGGATTCGTTTTGTTCACTTACCTTTGATGTAACTGCAAATGTCATCTTCGACAGTCCTAGTAACTTCCGGACAGTGTCAGTCAAGCCATAGAGATATGAGGTTATTCTTCTTACCATCCACATCCTTTGTTCGTTCCACCATCCTTTCAATGTGTCTCCACATGATAATGCCTCATACAGGCTATACATATTCTTCACACATAAGACATATATGAAGGGTGTGATCCATGGACTCGTAATCTGAATGACACAGGAGGATCATATTAGTTTTAATAGAAAGCATATGAAACTAAATTGAGGCTTTTCCTATTATGAAAACATTACCTCTGGGAACAAGGAGATGCCTTTGAGGAGAGCTAGTGAAGGAATGATGACATAATATAGTGTTGGGATTGAATTGGGTGCCCATAATCCATAGATTGAGTAGCCCATTTGATGCCGTAACTTGATTTTTCCATGCCCAAACATGAAGGGGCAGTATTTTGAAAGAAAAATTGAGAAGCTACCTTCGCTCCATCTCTTGTGTTGCAGTAGTGTCTGAGCAAGTGTTGTTGGAGCTACACCCAGAAATGCTGGTCTTGGAGGATTGCTGTGGACTGACTTCCATCCTCTGCAATGTATTTCCAGTCCGGTGATTATATCCTCTGCTGGGTAACCATATTTGATCCCAATCTCATCTCCCCACTGTGTGTCATGTTCATACGTGGAGGCTGCTAAAGACTTCGCTTTCTCTTCAATCTCATCTATGTTCTCTTGTGTTTTGTCTTTGATTCCTCCGTCCCAGTCCTCCTTGTAGTCTTCGGTGAACCTCCTTCCGCAAAGGATCTCCCTTCTGTGGAAACATCCAGTGCCAACATACATAGGGCCACCCACACTATCCATACCACCCATCAACACCTTTAGATTGAGTAGCTATGTTAGTGGTAGAACATACATGCACAATGATTGCTCATATTATGAAGAACATGAGAACGCAACTGAAGTTATAGTTTGACATCGCTGACCTGATTGGTTACTTGGTGGGAGTTCCCATATATATTATTCTTGGTTAAATTGTTATAGTTCTGGGGGAATTGCACAAATCCAATCTTGTGACCCATTTCTTCATCAAGGAAGAAGCACAGTGCATCTCTGATTGTATCGCAATTGTTGGAATACATATCACAGTCCACATTCATGATGATAGGGCTGTTGCTTATCACTGATGACACTCTTATCTGCATTTTAATAGAAAATTTGTCACATTTAGAAAAAATCATTATGATCATAGAATTCCAACCTTTCATGGAACAATTGTGAATAAGTTCTTTTTCATTTCGCGCTCTATTTTGTGCCTTGGTTTTCGTTTGCTATTTTGCTTGTTTTTGTTGTTGGACGACGCCATCTTGGCAATTCTTGTAACTCAAATGATGTGCAATTGGGTGCGCTTTCAAGAAAAAATGTCTAGCGGTAGGGAACAAGTTATTATTTATATCTAAAACCAACATATTTTAAGCTCACATTCATTACACGTATTTCACAAAATGCTACTCGTACTAAAGAAGTGGAGAGTTTTGTACTCCCTCAACTCTACAAACAATCCAATGACACAAAATGAATTATTAGGGTGTGAACTCCATGGTACAATTTTCTCAAAGGACAAGAAATTGCATGACAACATTTTGCTAATTTGGTTACTCTTGCAAACATTACTGTTTACTTAAAACTTCAAAATTATGAATTAGAATATGTTTCAACTAATATGCTGCTAAGAATCAGTATAAGAAAATGGGCTAATGAAAACTATAAAATTTACAATAAATTGTATGCTTAGTACGATGTGGCAAGATTATTGAGTGCACCAGAGCATTCATTGCCCCAGCTTTGAAATTATGGTGGTGCTGAGGCCGCTTCTCCCGTGCCATGTATACAAGTGTTGGTAGCACATTTCCTTCGTCATCATTTGCATTTTTGTCTTTGCCCTCTATCAGAATCTAGCAGAAGAAAGAATTATATAACTTGAAACTCCCAAATACTCCATCCGTCTCATAATATAAGAGCGTTTTTGACACTACATTAGTGTAAAAAACACTCTTATATTACGGACGGAGGGAGTAGCATGCAAGTTATTTACTCCAGAATCATGCAAACCTTTACTCAAATTTTGAGGGCAGGAAAGCTACCTGAACAGTTGCTTGGTGATTTTTTGAGGTATTTTCTTGATCCCATTCATGAAATCCTTTATCATTTGCTTTGACTTCCTCCGAAATTTTACCTGACAAAACAGCTGTATCAATTCGCTCAGTCATAGCTTCATACATCTCCTGCCCAAAAATGAAAAAAAGTCAGTTGTCATGCCAAATGCTGAGCACTGCGGGTAGGCTGCACTTAACATTAAGCATCTCATCTAGTCACATGTGTGTGCCATGTCGTTCCCTGTTCAATAGCCATTTGATTACATGTGTTAAAGAAAATATGTTTGGAAAATCTGCTTACCCTGATAAGTGACCATTCCTCTGGGCTGCACAAATCTTGATGCCCATCTGACTCTGAGAAGTAAGCGGCTGGTGACCTTGGCTCAATGTTATATCTCTTGCAGAATGGTATCCAGTGCTTTGCAAATAAGGAGGCCTCCCACAGAGCATAGAAAGTGAGAATCGAACCTCCGTCGTCCGAAAGGTACACACTAATTTTTTCGGCTGGGTAATTGTATGCCATGAGCGATAGGACGGTGGAGATGACAAGACTTGGTGGCTCTGAGTGTGGATCTGCCGTGCATACGAAGATATCCACACAAGGTAGCCTCTCTCCATACCTTCTCCAAGTGACATAGTAACTGTGTTAATGCTCAGTGCGGGAAGTACATGTTTTAAAGCAGTAGAACCATACACCTGACACCCTTAAACCTTCAAAACAAGTCCCTACTTTGGATCTTGTTTTGGCAGAAATGAGTCTGAAGTACTCACTCCCTGGTTTATGGGTTGAGCGTTTAAGGGTGTCTCGAAATCTAAACAGATGATGGAGATGGACCCTTTAAACTGCAAAAATAATAATATTGATATAGGTCCCTTACACCCTTAAACCTCAGTGCAGAAATGTGTCTCTAAATCTAAACAGATGATGGAGATGGACCCTTTAAACCGCAAAAATAATAATATTGATATAGGTCCTTTAAACCACCATTTTTCTTTTCTTAAGATAAGCCCTTTAAACTGGAAAGGAGGGAGTATCTACCTTCTTTTCTATAGAAAAGGCCGCTCAGTCTAGCACTCTAGCTTATTTATTTACCTTCTAAGTTAGTGAGCTCTGATCATCAATGTAAGCCCTTTGGCGTTGATAATGCCTTATCTTGCAATCATAGTTATAAACAATCTGATCATTTGCTTTAACCCTTTGTACCATAGAATAGAAACCCTTGTGCTGCATTCTAAGTTTAAAAATCAAAAGCATCAAACTTTTGTCTAATTTGTTAACAGAAAGATAGTTATATGTTATTTGGCCTGCGTAGCTTTAAAGCTCGAGGTAATATCACTAGCAGTCACAAAACTTGCGTTGGATGTGCATTTTAGTGCTAAAACTTGCAAAATACATCGTTGTAGTTGCATAACTTGCGTTTACGTGCACATACGGTCACAAATCCCGTCTGCCTTCATACGACGTGCTGGCGTGGCATACCTGGCCCGCTGGCAGCCTCTGATTCCGTCCAGCGCGGCGCGCGTGCGTCTTCTTTGCAGAAAACCCCTTAGCCCGTTTCGTAATTAGCTGAAAACCCCCTCCAACGGGGGAACAGGCAGGCCTGCTATTTTTGCCCAAAGGGTCCCCAAAAATGCTACCCGTTCATTCCCACTCCTCCTTACCGCTTCGTCTCCCTCCTCTGTGTCGCTCCTCTGTCTCCGTCGATTTTTCCAACACGGTGGCGGCACGGCGGCTGTCGTCGTAGGACATGGATGACCCGCGTCGTCGGGTGCGAGGCGATCCAGCGCCGCCGTATGGTTAGTCCTACTGTCCTCTGTCGTTTCTGACTCTGCATCTGTTCGTTGTTATGTTCGCCGTCTCCGACGTAGTTAGGGTTCATGGGGTAGGGCGATCAAGTCTGATTGATGTACGTTGGCGCCGTGCGTAGCCCGTTCTGGACTTAGGCATTACGTACGGATGGTTGTTGGGGCCCTGCTTGCGGAATCGTGCTAGGGTTTAATTAGGGGTTATTGAGGAGGTCGCTTTATCCATAGAAATTGATGATCAGAGGAACGAGAGGCCTCCATGTAAATTGTTCTAGTGTTTAATTGGGGGAAATTATTTATTAGATATTTGACAATGTGTACTGCTGCTAGTTGAATCTTTCAAAAGTCTGAATGTGTGCAGTGTTATCTGAAGTCTGACAATGTGTAATCCTGCGCCTAGTTTAGTCGTCAGTTAAATTCAGTTAGGAATAAAACGGCTAGTGCATGAGCTTATTTGTAGGAGTAACCACGACGTGTGGTGTTAGAGTCCTAGTCGGACACAGATGGGCACTTGTAGTAGTTGTAGGATTAGAAGTCCAAACCGAGTAGGTTTGAGTGCTAGTCCAAGCTGCTATATATATATACGCACGTATAATCCCTGTAACTTGTACCGATCAGAAGAAAAGCAATAAAAGAGCAAGGCACGTCAAGAGCCTTTGGCTATCAATCCATCGATCAGTTTTGTTCTGCCGAGAGGTTTCGCCGAGACAGCCGATCGCTAGCTTCGCTAGTTGCAAGCTCGCCAGCTCTACTACAGGAATCAATTAAGCTGCTTGCCTGCTAGCTAGCTTTGCACATCATACGTGTATTAGCTCCTGGGAGTTTTGGTCTAGGATCAAAAGCCAAAAGCCAACATTATTTGTGCACTGACCGAGAAACGAACTTGCTGCCGCTGTTTGACATTGCTGCAGTTAACTGAAGTTGGCATTTGCTGAATTTTTTCTCTGAACTTGTTGGGAGGACTGATGTACTTGTTAACTGAATTTTTTCTCTGAACTTGTTGGGAGGATTGATGTACTTGTTAACTGAATCTGACATTTTAACATGATGTACTGATTTGTTATGAACTCTTTTACATTGCAGGAGATTTTGATGGTCTGTTCAGTGTTGAGATCCACCATAGTGGTTTCTTTTGTGGCAGTGACATAAACAGAACATACATGGACTATGAGGTTGATTGGTTTGACAATTGTCAGACTGACACTTGGTCCTTACTCTGGATTGATGACTTTCTTCTGCAGCTGGGCTATGATAGACAAGCTTCAAAGATTGATGTTTACTGGTGTGAACCAAGAAAGACAGTTAGTGATGGCCTGAAGCTCTTGACCTGTGATGCCGACATTGTTCTTATGATTTGTGCAACATTAGAGCACAAGAACCTGCTGCTGATAGTAGACCATGGTGATACCCTGCAGTCATTAAACAAAGATGATGTTCTGACAAATGGAGTGAAGGATCCACCTAAGGTTATTACTCCAAAGAGGCATGGAAAAGAAAATGTCAGTTATCCAGAGAAAGAGCAGAGTCCTAGAGAGAAAATGTCAAGGACAACAAGGAGATCTATGTCATTTGGAGAAGGATGTAGCTCAAGGAATGCTATGGAGGAGGAGAATATTGAGGATGTTAACAATAGTGAAGAAGAGGGAAATGATGAGGATGCAGGGTCAGAAACAGATGAGGAGTTCTATGAGAGTGACTATGAAGTTGCAGAAGGTGATGATGATTTGTTTGACGCAAATGTAGACAAAGATGTTGATGATCACAGAGAGAAGAACATATTGCCAGACTTTGAAGAAGAACTTCCAGAAGATGCTTTGGAGGACAGCCACTTAAATATGTCGAAAGAAGAGAAAGAGAAGCTGAAGCACAAATTCAGTACTTTCAACCCAACAACTGATCTGAATGCACCTGTGTTTAAGATTGGGTTGGTGTTTGCAGATATGAAGGAATTGAGGCATGCTCTCACTGCATACAGTGTAAGGAATAGGGTGAAAGTGAACAAGCTCCGAAATACTTCAGTATCACTAGAGGCTGTATGCAAGCCTGGTTGCACTTGGTACTTGAAGGCAGGTAAAGATAACAGGTCAAGTAGCATACAGATCAAGAAGTATGTTGACAATCACACTTGCACAAAAGCATGGGACCTGAGAGTTCTGACTGCTCCTTTTCTTACTAACAAGTTCAGAGAAGAATTCAGAGACAATGAAAAAATGCCTCTGAAGAAATTTTCAGATAAGGTGGAGACAGAATATAATTTGGTTCCACACAGGAGTAAGTTGGGAAGAGCTAGGAGAGCAGCAGTGAATCAAATAAGGGGAGTAGATGATGACCAATATAATACTTTGTGGGACTATGGTCAGGAGCTTAGAAGGAGCAATCCAGGAAGCCAGTTCTTCTTGTGCACTAAGGAAGTATTTGATGAGAAGACAAAGAAGGTACAAGACCACTTTTCCACATTGTACTGGTCATATGATGCATGCAAGAGGGGATTCCTTAAGGGTTGTAGACCAATCATTTTCCTGGATGGTTGTCACATTAAAACGAGATACAAGGGAACATTACTAACAGTCGTTGGAATCGATCCCAATGATTGTATCTTTCCAGTAGCATTTGGGTTATGTGAAGTGGAGTCAACCCATAGCTGGGAGTGGTTCTTAGCATCCTTAAAGGATGACCTGAACATAACGAACACCTCACCATACACCATTATGAGTGACAAGCAGAAGGTTAGTACTAGATCATTCAATTTCTTCATTGCAACAACATAAGTGTGTGCTGTTTTGCAGAGATTAATGTGTTCTGTTTTGCAAGGATTAATAAATGCAGTGAAAAAGGTTTTCCCTCATTCAGAACATAGAAACTGTGTTAGGCACATTTATCAAAATTTCCATAAAGTACACAAGGGAGAGCAGCTCAAGAATGATCTATGGTCTATAGCAAGGTCCACTAATGAAGCTGCATACACCAGGAACATGGATCTAATGAAAGAACACAACTTGGGTGCCTACACCTGGGTTGAGAAATTGGAGCCAAGAACATGGATCAAAGCATTCTTTGACCCGTTTTGCAAGTGTGACATATTACTAAACAATATGTCAGAAGTGTTCAATAGGTTACTCTCTTGTTACTTTTTCCTCTCTTGTTATTTTCTTGTCAACAAAAAATCAAATGCCAACTGTGTGCTTACATATTTGGTACTATTTTGCAGTTACATTTTGGATGCGAGGGAAATGCCAATTAAGTCAATGTTGGACCAGATAATGTGGAAGCTAACAAACAGGATTGTTGGTAAGCAGAGAGAGGCAGAGAAATGGACAGGCAGATTATGTCCCAAGATACAGAAGAAATTGGACAAGTATGTGGAGTGGGCAAAGAACTGCAGGGTGCAAGAGTATGGGCAAGGTGTTTTCAAGGTTTTCTCTTTGAACAACACATACATTGTTGACCTGAACATGCTTTCTTGTGAATGCAAAAGGTGGGTACTATCTGGCATACCTTGCCATCATGCAATTGCATGTTTTAGGCATGAGAGAATTGAGCCAGAGAGCATGGTCCATTCATGCTACACTGTTGAGGAATATAAGAAGTGTTATGGATTTAATATGATGCCAATGAGGGACCCACAGCAATGGGAAAAAATGCATGGCATTGCTGTTCACCCACCCCTGTACACAAAAGTAATGGGCAGGCCTAAGAAGAACAGGAAAAAAGATCCAGAAGAGAAGAAAGACAAGACTGGGGTGAAAAAATTGAGCAAACATGGTGTGACCATGCATTGTTCTGTTTGTGGAGCTGCTGACCATAACAAGAAGGGCCACCACAATCATGTTAATCAAACAACAACTGAGGAAACAACAATTGAAGAAGAATATGACGACCCAAGCATAATTGCTGTACCATCCTTTGCTTATATATTTTCCCCTCTAATCTTCAAACTATACTTAAACATTGATACATTGGCTTCACCTGTTGCAGAACATCATGCCACACAGAGTCTACCCTCAGCTCGATCCAACACAAACCCCTGACTCAATGGTTTACAAGATGCAAGAAATGGTAATATATTCAGTGACAAAATTATGCAGATGTAATTACCATTTAAGTGCTTACATACCCACCTTTTTATATTGTACTTGTGTGAGCAGGAGAAGTTTACATATCCAGCACCTAGGGAATTTGCCCCCCTACCTGAGTCTAGCTTCATTGCCAATGCCAGAGACTCAATTCCTATGGTTAGAGTTACAACAGCCATGTCAAGAGGCAGGGTGAGAAAGACTGCTAATGAGAAAGTTGCAAGGCCAAGAAAAAAGCAGGCAAGGGAAGGCAATATTGCAATGGGAAGCAATGTTGCAACAACGGGAAGCAATGCTCCAACAAGTGGGGCCAATGCAAGAGAAGGTGGCAATGCAAGAGGAGGGGCCAATGCAAGAGGAGGGGCCAATGCAAGAGGAGGTGGCAATGCAAGAGGAGGGGCCAATGCAAGAGGAGGGGCCAATGCAAGAGGAGGTGGCAATCCAAGAGGAGCAAGAGCTGCTGCTCCAGATTTCTTCAACTTGCTATTTGGACCCGATGGATCCACAATACATGAACCGCCACTTGTCATGCAGGGTGAGGAGGAGGTCATTTTTAGCCAAAATGCACCAGGAGCTAGCCAGGATCCTTATCTCTATGATGAAGGTTGGCCTGATGATCTGCATGACTTTTTGTCTTTATAGTTTACATTACATGCATCTTTAGGTGAAAGTCTGATGAAGTTCATGAATGAACTTGTTGGTTTGGTGATGGAGTTCATGAATGAACTTGTGGTCTCTAGTTCAGTACTTATTTAGAAGACGACGTGATAACAGTTATGTCACTTTTGGTTTGGTTCGTACGACTAAGAAACTACTTATGTTAGTGCCAAATATGTCATTTCAATTATGGTCTGTTCCTGTTCACTTAAGGTCAATTTGTCCGTGCTAGATCCTTGTTGCAAGTCTGCTATATTACAAATCTTGGCCAAAAGCTTAATAAAACAGCAGAAATGTTGTCCAACTTGGTCAAAAGAGTTGCTGCGATTTTTTGCCAAAACGGA